TATCTTATAGCGAAATATAGTATATCACCTGTCATCAATTTCTTGTCTCTATATATAAACTATGTACGGTTCCACAGTTAAATGTTGCCAGAACACTAACATATGTCGGCAGAAACAATGCCTAGATATAGAAATGGTAATGGAGATTAAACACCTGTAACTAAGTTCCACAGTTTAGCTAAGCAATTATTCATTAAGAGTTTTCCTGCCTCTCAGTAAATAAAGTAACATTTTAAATGCAAATGGAATCTATAACACAATTTCATATTCAGAGAAACTGAAATTGTTTAATTGATGGATTCATTACATAACCAACAAAATTATCTGTTTATTAAAATCAGACTCGTGCATTTCACATTAATATACCTCAATATACCCATGTTTGCCTATACACACTTTGTGTTTGTCATAACATTCGGATGAGTTTTTATTCTTTAGAGAAACACATGGTCCAATAGTAATTGTTATTGCCTTAGCACTAACCTCATTACCAGTGTAACAGAAGCACCAGAATTATCTGAAAATCTGTGACAACTAATGTCCATTACCAAATAATACATGGTTTTGGGTAACTGGTGACCTTGCACATTTATTTAGGGTTGTCAGCATTTTATGTCCTTGGAAACTGTTTTGTGATATAATAGTGGTCAATCATTGATGACCTTGGATAGTGTTTTATAATATATTCACTGTAGTTGTCAATCATTGATGACCTTGGACAGTGTTTTGTGATATATAGTTGTCAATCATTGATGACCTTGGACAGTGTTTTGTGATCTATAATTATCAATCATTGATGACCTTGGACAGTGTTTTGTGATATATAGTTGTCAATCATTGATGACCTTGGACAGTGTTTTGTGATATATTCACTGTAGTTGTCAATCATTGATGACCTTGGACAGTGTTTTGTGATATATAGTTGTCAATCATTGATGACCTTGGACAGTGTTTAGTGATATAATAGTTGTCAATCATTGATGACCTTGGACAGTGTTTTGTGATCTATAATTATCAATCATTGATGACCTTGGACAGTGTTTTGTGATCTATAATTATCAATCATTGATGACCTTGGACAGTGTTTTGTGATCTATAATTATCAATCATTGATGACCTTGGACAGTGTTTTGTGATCTATAATTATCAATCATTGATGACCTTGGACAGTGTTTTGTGATCTATAATTATCAATCATTGATGACCTTGGACAGTGTTTTGTGATCTATAATTATCAATCATTGATGACCTTGGACAGTGTTTTGTGATCTATAATTATCAATCATTGATGACCTTGGACAGTGTTTTGTGATCTATAATTATCAATCATTGATGACCTTGGACAGTGTTTTGTGATCTATAATTATCAATCATTGATGACCTCGGACAGTGTTTTGTGATCTATAATTATCAATCATTGATGACCTCGGACAGTGTTTTGTGATCTATAATTATCAATCATTGATGACCTCGGACAGTGTTTTGTGATCTATAATTATCAATCATTGATGACCTCGGACAGTGTTTTGTGATCTATAATTATCAATCATTGATGACCTCGGACAGTGTTTTGTGATCTATAATTATCAATCATTGATGACCTCGGACAGTGTTTTGTGATCTTTAATTATCAATCATTGATGAGCTTGGACAGTGTTTTGTGATCTATAATTATCAATCATTGATGACCTTGGACAGTGTTTTGTGATATAATAGTTGTCAATCATTGATGACCTCGGACAGTGTTTTGTGATCTATAATTATCAATCATTGATGACCTTGGACAGTGTTTTGTGATCTATAATTATCAATCATTGATGACCTTGGACAGTGTTTTGTGATATAATAGTTGTCAATCATTGATGACCTTGGACAGTGTTTTGTGATATATTCACTGTAGTTGTCAATAATTGATGACCTTGGACAGTGTTTTGTGATATATAGTTGTCAATCATTGATGACCTTGGACAGTGTTTTGTGATCAATCATTGATGACCTTGGACAGTGTTTTGTGATCTATAATTATCAATCATTGATGACCTTGGACAGTGTTTTGTGAACTTTAATTATCAATCATTGATGACCTTGGACAGTGTTTTGTGATCTATAATTATCAATCATTGATGACCTTGGACAGTGTTTTGTGATCTATAATTATCAATCATTGATGACCTTGGACAGTGTTTTGTGATCTATAATTATCAAATTGATTATAATTGATCTATAATTATCAATCATTGATGACCTCGGACAGTGTTTTGTGATCTATAATTATCAATCATTGATGACCTCGGACAGTGTTTTGTGATCTATAATTATCAATCATTGATGACCTCGGACAGTGTTTTGTGATCTATAATTATCAATCATTGATGACCTCGGACAGTGTTTTGTGATCTATAATTATCAATCATTGATGACCTCGGACAGTGTTTTGTGATCTATAATTATCAATCATTGATGACCTCGGACAGTGTTTTGTGATCTATAATTATCAATCATTGATGACAGTGTTTTGTGATATTATAATTATCAATCATTGATGAAAAGACACAGTGTTTTGTGTTTTGATGACCTCGGACAGTGTTCTATATAATTATCAATCAATCATCAATCATTGATGACCTTGAGTGCTTTGTGACCATTGATGACCTTGGACAGTGTTTTGTGATCTATAATTATCAATCATTGATGACCTTGGACAGTGTTTTGTGTGATGACCATTGATGACCTCGGACAGTGTTTTGTGATCTATAATTATCAATCATTGATGACCTGATGGACAGTGTTTTGTGATCTATAATTATCAATCATTGATGACCTTGGACAGTGTTTTGTGATCTATAATTATCAATCATTGATGACCTTGGACAGTGTTTTGTGATCTATAATTATCAATCATTGATGACCTTGGACAGTGTTTTGTGATCTATAATTATCAATCATTGATGACCTTGGACAGTGTTTTGTGATATATAATTTTCAATCATTGATGACCTTGGACAGTGTTTTGTGATCTATAATTATCAATCATTGATGACCTTGGACAGTGTTTTGTGATCTATAATTATCAATCATTGATGACCTTGGACAGTGTTTTGTGATATAATAGTTGTCAATCATTGATGACCTTGGACAGTGTTTTGTGATATAATGTTGTCAATCATTGATGACCTTGAAAAGTGTTTTGTGATCTATAATTATCAATCATTGATGACCTTGGACAGTGTTTTGTGATCTATAATTATCAATCATTGATGACCTTGGACAGTGTTTTGTGATCTATAATTATCAATCATTGATGAGCTTGGACAGTGTTTTGTGATCTATAATTATCAATCATTGATGACCTTGGACAGTGTTTTGTGATATAATAGTTGTCAATCATTGATGACCTTGGACAGTGTTTTGTGATCTATAATTATCAATCATTGATGACCTTGGACAGTGTTTTGTGATCTATAATTATCAATCATTGATGACCTTGGACAGTGTTTTGTGATATAATAGTTGTCAATCATTGATGACCTTGGACAGTGTTTTGTGATATAATGTTGTCAATCATTGATGACCTTGAAAAGTGTTTTGTGATCTATAATTATCAATCATTGATGACCTTGGACAGTGTTTTGTGATATAATTATCAATCATTGATGACCTTGGACAGTGTTTTGTGATATGATAGTTGTCAATCATTGATGACCTTGGACAGTGTTTTGTGATATAATGTTGTCAATCATTGATGACCTTGGACAGTGTTTTGTGATCTATAATTATCAATCATTGATGACCTTAGACAGTGTTTTGTGATCTATAATTATCAATCATTGATGACCTTGGACAGTGTTTTGTGATCTATAATCATCAATCATTGATGACCTTGGACAGTGCTTTGTGATCTATAATTATCAATCATTGATGACCTCGGACAGTGCTTTGTGATCTATAATTATCAATCATTGATGACCTCGGACAGTGTTTTGTGATCTATAATTATCAATCATTGATGACCTTGGACAGTGTTTTGTGATCTATAATTATCAATCATTGATGACCTTGGACAGTGTTTTGTGATCTATAATTATCAATCATTGATGACCTTGGACAGTGTTTTGTGATATAATAGTTGTCAATCATTGATGACCTTGGACAGTGTTTTGTGATATAATAGTTGTCAATCATTGATGACCTTGGACAGTGTTTTGTGATCTATAATTATCAATGATTGATATGACCTTGGACAGTGTTTTGTGATATAATAGTTGTCAATCATTGATGACCTTGGACAGTGTTTTGTGATCTATAATTATCAATCATTGATGACCTCAGACAGTGTTTTGTGAACTATAATTATCAATCATTGATGACCTTGGACAGTGTTTTGTGATCTATAATTATCAATCATTGATGACCTTGGACAGTGCTTTGTGATCTATAATTATCAATCATTGATGACCTCGGACAGTGTTTTGTGATCTATAATTATCAATCATTGATGACCTTGGACAGTGCTTTGTGATCTATAATTATCAATCATTGATGACCTCGGACAGTGTTTTGTGATCTATAATTATCAATCATTGATGACCTTGGACAGTGCTTTGTGATCTATAATTATCAATCATTGATGACCTCGGACAGTGCTTTGTGATCTATAATTATCAATCATTGATGACCTTGGACAGTGCTTTGTGATCTATAATTATCAATCATTGATGACCTTGGACAGTGTTTTGTGATCTATAATTATCAATCATTGATGACCTTGGACAGTGTTTTGTGATCTATAATTATCAATCATTGATGACCTTGGACAGTGTTTTGTGATCTATAATTATCAATCATTGATAACCTTGGACAGTGTTTTGTGATATGATAATTTTCAATCATTGATGACCTTGGAAACATGATCAGTGAATATATGGATCTGTGTTACATTTTGTATGTGTGTGTTTATAACATGCTGATTTATTAATACTTGTTTTGGTTTCTACCTGCAGAGTTAAACATACCCTGATCCACCATGTATAACGGTATTGGCCTGGACACGGCCCGAGGCAGCGGCACCAATGGTTATGTTCAGCGCAATCTGTCTTTTGTTCGCAAACACAAGGACCGAGTAGATTATAAGTCTGAGGAAGAACTGAAAAAACTTGACCAGGCCCTCCAGAAACCTCCAAATAAGGAAATTCTTGATCATGAGAGAAAGCGCAAGGTGGAACTCAAGTGTATGGAAATGCAAGAATTAATGGAGGAACAAGGGTAAGTGGTTGTCTCCCTTAAGTGCTTTTAAACATTTTTATTTCACACTAATGAAAACTTGCACAGCAAAAAACATTTTCATTAACAAATGTAATTAAGGGTTGTTTGTTCTTTAAAGGCTTTTTAATTTTAACATTGACCAGAGAAATACTGTGTTTTAAATCCTCTGAGTGGCAATCACCAGAAATCAGTTAATTTCAGTCTCAGCATGGGTATAGTCTATCACTGGCAAGTGATCAACACAACTGACCACTTTTTCTTTATGGCCTAGCGACAAGTTATAGCTAACATGAAAAAATTACATAGCATCTTTCCAAATTTTCGTATCAAATGAAAACTTTCCAACATAAATTTGACCATAAATGAGTATTTCTGAGCAAGTTGATTCCTTGTACAAGTGCTCAAGTCAGTTTTGAATATTTTACATGCGTTGGTGTAACTTGTAATTCAATGTGCTTGCAGATGTACTAAACTTCCCATCATCTTATACATAATCATGACTTTTAAATATCTAATGATAGTTTTGTACAGACATCATTCTAATGGGCTTTCATTTTTGGAAGTTGAGGCATTTAATTCCTATATTACAGAATCCTCTATAGAATATCAGAAATTAAGAACAAAAAAAACCTCAAAACAATCAACTGTTATATTGCATTTGTAACACAAAGGAAGATTTATAAGCGTTACTGAAGACAACTAGTTTTACATTACATAAAGTGATTGCAGCTTTAAGAATTCTACTTTTATTAATGCACTCAAATTTCACCTGACAAAAAGATCATGAAGTGTAGCTGATATCTCCTCTGTGGGTACAAATTTGTCATCAAAACTCTGTAGTTGCTCTGAATAAAATGTCAGCAGAGGTTGCCAAGGAACTGATAAGGAAATTTAATTTACTTATCTGGATTTTAATGGTGTTTAGTTGGTAATCTGCGGTGATTCCTGATGAGATGTCGGTAGGATACATGTGAAATTGTATTGGATAAATAGATACTTATAGTGTAATCTTCAGTTGAACAAAATGATGGCCAAATCACGAAACATCGCAAACTGGTCATCTTAACACTATCACTCCAGCTCGTAGTTCATTTCTAAAGCACCAGGTTTGTATACTGGAATAATAGTCAACATATCGTGTGAGAAACTATATTTCAAACACTTCTGAGAAATTATAATAAAATTGAATTTAATGATAAACAGAAATTAACTAAAGAATAATGTTGTGTGAAGCTGCTTTCCTTGGAAACTTGGGTGTTTATAGATAAATGAGTCTGGCTTTTACATAAAATTGGTTTAATTTGAGTCCAATATTAACTGATAAATCCTGTAAGCTGTAGTGTTACGATGAGATGGAGGGATTCTGCCGTGTATCACTTAGTGTATGTATGACGTAAAACGAGAGTGTGGGGTATTAGTGATCCCATCAGTCTAAAGTGACCACTGCAGTGAAAATTAAATTTTAAAGTCTTGTTTCATTTCGTCTGTTTTTTGTTTTTCCAGTTTTAAAACTTGTTATTCCTCCAGTATCTGTTTAACAATAATAGATTTCTGATTATCGTTCAAAACATTCTTTAATTATAGAAACAAAACATTAGATTTGCTGCTTTGCTGTAGGCTAGCTGTTTGCTGCCTACTGGAGTTTTCCAAACAAGTGAAACAGTGATTGAGGATCACCACCTACCTAGATAAATCCTCCTCCACAGAAACTGTCCTAGTTTTATCACGTGTCACCTTTGTTTCAATTACTGAATAGATCAGTTGTAGGCTTAACACACAGGTTTGCGTAGAATTCTGATAAAGAAGTTTCCATGAAAGGATTGTCAATGCTATACAGTGAAAAAAGAACTTATCAAATTATCTCAATAGTTTGTGATTTCTTTCTAAGAATTTCAGATGTAAAGTAAATCTCACATGACCTTCATTCAAGTACAAGGTTTTTGTTCATAAGACCTACAAACAAGTCAAGGATGCATTGCAGTTCTGAAATGGCAAATTATCTCAGAAATGATAAGTATTTTTGTACACAATGGTACACAATATATAGTACTGTAGACATTGGTGCAAGCTGCCCTTTGAGAAATTCTGAGGTCATAGGTTCAAGGTCCAAATGGTAGGTATTTTAGATATAATTTTAGACATTGTAACCATCAGTGAAAGTTACACAGTGGCATTAGTTCTGAGGGTCATGTGGTCAAAGGTCAAATGCCATGAATTACATATCATTTGTTCTTCAAGGACTGACATTCTGAAATCCGCTTGTTTGTCTTGCATTTTAGTATTCAATTTTACTCCAACTACAAATTATGTAAACATTATTATGTTTGTTTGTTATTAATGTTTAGTCTCCCAAAGTAATTTCCCTGAGTTTTTTTTCTACATGTGCCTGTGCACAAAATATTGGACTTGCTACTCCTAAAATGTATGGATTTCTTTAGGAAACTTTGTATATTTGTGAATAACAATATATGTTTCTGTGATGTTCACAGACGTATGGCCCTTGATACTTCTTATTTAATGCTACAAGGAATGATTGATAAGTTTTGAGTCTTATATTAGAAAAGTCAAGCAGAGATATCCTTTTCCAGCTCTACTATTCCCTAACTGTTTAAAGCTGTGTACCTGAAGACTGGTGTCATTTGGCCAGTTTGAGTCGAAGAGGTAGCACTCTAAAGTAAACAAGGCATGTGACTTTTGCAAAATGGATAAAATTGCTGAAAGAGCAGTGATTAAAATATTTGCTTAAGAAAGGCCTAGAACCTAAAGATATCCATACTGATATGGTTGCAACATTAGGGAATGGTACCCCCTTCATATGCTACAGTGAAAAGGTGAGTGAAATTCAAGCATGGCGGGCAGAGCCTTGGGGAGGACGCACATCCTGGAAGGCCTGTCACTGTTGCAACCCCAGAAATGGTCAATAAAGTGCATGATATTTTTAAGGCTGACAGGCGAGTTACATAGAGATATATAGCCAGTACAGTTGGGATTTCACTAGAAGGAGTACATTCCATTGTTTTAAAGAGCTTGCAATGCGAAAAAACTCAGCCCGTTTGGTACCAAGATTTCTAACTGTAGACCAGAAGCACACCAAGCGGACATTGTCACTTGCTGATCTGAAACTTTTAGAGGCAGATCCTGCTAACTTTTTGTAGAGATTTGTGACTATGGATGAAATGGCTCCATCAGTTCACCCCCCAGAAGCCAACAACAGTCTAAACAGTGGAAGCACCCTGGATCACCACTGCCAAAGAAGGCTAAGACTATTGTTCCATCTGAAATAAAAGTTATGGCCTCGGTTTCTGGGATGCTGATGGTATTGTGATGGCAAAAGGGACTAACAATCAATGGCACATATGATGCATCACATCATTGTCAGTTAAAAGAAATATTAAACTCAAACATTGCAGAAATCTCAGTAAAGATGTGTCGTTCCACCAGGACAATGTCTCTGTTCACAAGTCTGTCATTGTCATGGCTGCCATCAATGATTGTGACTTTGAATTGATTGAATATCTGCCTAGTTCACCTGATCTCACTCCATCAGAATTTCGTGTATTTCCAAAATTGAAAAAGGCCATTTTCAGTACCCACTATCATATGATGATGTCATACCTGAAAGAGGTGGGCTTTCTGAACGGTCCAGAAAAGGACTGACTTCTTTAGAAGTGGCATTGAGGTCCTTAAACATTGCTGGCAAAAGTGTATAGACACTGAGGGGGCTTATGTTGAAAAATAATGCAATATGTCCGCCAAAAATCTAAACCGGCAAATATGAGGCTCACAACTTATCAATCAGCCCTCGTATTTTTTCTTTGTAGGTTTTTCACGAAACGTGTTGCATATATTTAGATGATAGTATAAATGCTTTTTATGCATATCCTTGAGATTAGATCGTGAATTTTGGTTTAAACACAAGACAAAGTCATGTATTAAACGACAAAATTCATGATAAAATCTTTGCTATATGTATAAAAACAATCATGCTATCTCTATTCTAAAATAATTTGAGCCTAAAAGTTATGTAATTATCGCAATGTCAACAAAAATTAACAGAAACTAAGAACAGCACAATTTTCTGCGAAATGCATGTTTCTCTGCATGGAATATCTGTCTAAACTGTTGTTTATATTGATTTAATGTGAACATACTCAAATTTGTGATGTCTGTCTCATAATGTGGTTAATAAAGTTATAATAAATTTCTCCAAAGTAGATGTTGATCATATGCCTCAACCTAAAGGATGTCCAGCATCTTTGGGCTAGTATATAGTATACATAAGTATATCGCAGAATAGACAATGAAAATTTTTCAGATAAAAAATATGTGACATAACGATCATTTTAAAAAACGCATTTTGTAATTTAGTATCACCTCAAAGATTTTTATTTGCTAACAGGAGTTCATCTGTCCTTTTAGCAGAGTTATTCCCCTCAATACTTCTTAAAATTTTACTCATTTTCCGAACTACTAAAGCAGTCAGCTTGAGGCAGGAGGGAGGAGTGGGAAGGAGGGGGTCCCTAGGCAACATGTGTGTGTGTGTGTGTGTGTGTGAAGCCTTGGACTGTGTCAGAGAATGTATGTAACATATTTACCTACAAATGTCAGGGACGAACAAAAAGATCAGGTGCTTTAACTGTATACAGTTCTCCCTAATGCTCCCACAGGACACAAGCGTGAAAATTAGAGAAACCACTCACCAACTGGCCATGTGTATTAGATTTAATTACAGTGTTGCACAGACTGACGATGATGGCATTTCCTGCTGTCTTTTATGGTTTTAATGTAATTTTTCCATTTCACTTTCCAACTAAATGCAATAGTGAGTGTGTAAGTATGGATTGTTTCCTTGAGGAAGAATAGTGACTGTACAGGAAGGTTGTCCGTATCAATTAAGCTGACAGAGTTATCCTTCTTAAGGAATTGATTAAATTACTATTATTTAATTGTTAAGGGTTACCTTTATGTACATTGGCAATCAGGTATTGTGAATGCATGAA